ACATTGCCACAGTTCTTCTCTTTTATAAAATTCATTCGTTTACGACATTAAATGCGATTATCGCAAATACATCAGTTGTATATTTAGCTACAGTTATTTCCCTCAAATACTCAAACGTATATAAGATCAAGAAAGAATTCATCGATAGTATTATATCCCTTAGCATTATTCAATACAGAAGAGGATATAAAATATTTTTCAAAAGAGGCTTCGAATTTCATTCTATTTCTCAGATAATAAATTTGGCTGTAGGTTAATGTGATCAAACTGTTATAAAGGACTGAAAATGAAGTCCGTTGTAACCTTAAAACATAGAAATGGAAGCTATTTAATTTGGAAAATGGATGTGTCACTATACATTTAATTCTCCTTATTAAATAATATGGGGGAATATAACTATTGTATTATTTAAAAAGTAATTCAATCGTTGTTTTTATGACTAAATTTTGCTATCTAAAGATTCATTTTAAATTTTTCATATAGTTTAGTAGTCAAGAGTCTTGTCAGGGATAAAAATTGATGTATTTGATAATACTGTAATTTGGCTAGTACATATTATTTTGTAAGAGAATCTTTAAGTGATTCGTGTCTGGACATTCTATAATTTGTGTTTTTATATGTGGGACAAGTTAGTTAGTCCAAGTTAATTTAGAGCGTGATAGAGTACTAAATATCCACTTTCTTTTATCGCCATGAGTACTATGAAGACTATAAAATGTGATGCTATTAGAAAATTAAGAGTGGAGCAAAACGAGAATCACGTTTGAAGAAGTAATATGACGTTTGCAGACCATTTGGTCTCTAGGTTGTAGGTGAGATTATTCCTTTATTGCAAGCTTGTATAGTTGCTGGCAGTACTAATTCTGCTTATTGCTATCTCTTCACTTATCAATCTCGTCATAAACTAATTGTATGGCTATTAGTGGCAAATCTCTATAATTTTAAATAAATTGATGTTCGATTGTTTTCTACGACTAAATTGTTGTCAAAGTATTGTGAAATGCATTTATGAGCCAGGATAAGCAAGAAAAAGCTATTTCTATGTACGAAAATTTACTCAAAATTGGATTTTCAAATCTTCACCATGATCATCTTGATATTTCTACATTACATGATAATATAGGAAAAGTGTACATAAATTAGAGTAATGAATATGAAGAAGCTACTAGTATATAGGAGAAATTACTCGAATTTCGATTGTCCGTTCTTGATCACATTTATCCCAACATTGCCATATCATGTAGCAGCATCGAAAATATCTACCAGGCATAAAAGAGTATGTAGAAACTATTTATATGTATAAGAAATCGCATAAAATTTAACCATTAGTCCATGGTTGCAATTATTCTAATATTACTCAATCACATTACAGAATGAGAAACACGTTTAATAGTCTGAGTAAGTACGAAATGGCAATGACATACTTCATGTAATATTTAGTAAGATTGGAATGATTGTGTGCATGCATTGATAGTTTCAAGTATTTTCTCAGCAAAGGCTTAGAATTGCCAGTCCATGAATATAAAAGATGCACATAGGAATAAGGGTTAATATAAAGAGGTTACTACAATGCATGAGAGGTTATCCAAAATTTTTTATCCAGTAACAGTACATTTTCGTCAGGATTAAAAAAGAAAACCTTATTTTCAGGTAAGAAGTAACCCTACTTGAGCCCAATTTACAGCTGTTGATCACAATCATCTCAATATTATTAAATTACATAAAATAGAAGGATGGGCCTATTCGATAGAGTAGCATCAAAAATACATCTATGGCACTTTGAAAATGGTAACCAAAGAAAGAGTCAAGTATCACATGAAAATAGTACGCTGGACAGTAGAAAAGTCATAGTTCGATCATTATAACGTTTTATCAATGACGTAAAATGTTATTTTAATATAGAATACAAAGCTTTCCTAAACATTAGATTCACTTTGTAGAACAGAAATTGTTAATAATTCCGTTGCAAAACGAACACCGAAATACTATAGTGTTTATGAAACTAAAACATTTTCAAAGTATTCGTATTCCAAAGCAGTTCTAATCTTAGACGCTACACGTTTGAAATATCAGCTAGTCAATTACAAATGGCATCCAATACTCCATCGTTAATGCTTATTCTTTTCTTTGTACTACTACAGTCCTTGTCTTTTATAACATTTATCCATGTGCAATATTAAATATAAATATGGGTAATGTATCAAATTATGTACTCTATTAAGCTGTAATTGTGCTTATAAAATATTTATATTGATTCAAGATCAAGAATAAACGATCCACAAAATCTTTAAAATGTTAATATTATCGCATTCAATATACATTAGAAGAGTATATGAAATAATTTCCAAAAGAGGAATCGAAATTATAATGTAATTCTCAAACAATATTTTCGCTATCATTGCTGCATAAAATGAGATATACGTCTACTTAAAAAAATATTGATTTTCCTGCTACTTTTCCTAAACTTGATCTTTTTCTATAATAAAGTTTGAACTTATACGTAAGATATCTTTACTATTACAAGCAGAATGTTTTTTATTGATGGATATTCCTAGTGCTGCAAAATGAGCTGATTTGATGATGTATTAATTATCAGTATTATAACATTTAAGCGCATTGATATCAGGTTACTACCATAATCGTTTACTCAATGTTTAGTATTGCTTTTTTTTATTTATACTTAGATGAGGAGCTTATCGTTTGTAGTACTTATTTACTTCACAAAATCTATTAAATTGAGCACAAGTTAGTGAAAGCCTACCCTATGATACTTAAAGAAAGGGCCTATCTATAGCTTTTACAGGTTAGAATATCTTAGTACGCGATTGGAGCTATAGTCTATCCTTCAAGATAGAACTTTTATGCCAAGTAAACATGGTATTGTAATCTCTATATTTAAATGTTCAAATTGATAAATTATTGCCGCGAAGTGCTTATAACGCTTGATTGTATTTGATTATTTATGTCTGAAAAAAATTTCGTGTTTGTTCTTGTTACGATATTAATAAGATAGTTGGGCATTAGCTGTTGTATGTAAAGTCTAAAAGCTATTATGATTATTGCTTTAATGATTAAAATCTTGTTAACTGAAGGTCAGCTATGACCTTTTTGATCGTATGATAGCATTAGTTAAGTCAAAGTATTTTTACAATGGTTATTAGTTTTTTAAGCCTTAATGAACCTTTATTTAGAAGTATGCTTGCTGAGATGATTCCGAAATATAATAGATTGATAATAATAATAGCATCAATAGTTACTAGCTCTGTGAAGCTTATAAATGGAGCGCGATTCGAAAAGTAGAGATATTCTTTCCAGTTAAGTCTAGAGTTTAACTTCGTCCTCAACTTTTCTTAGTAGGTCTGTTGCAGGAGAAAGCTAATTGACCACTAGTTCTTACCGTTCGGTTTATCTTGACAAAACGGAGCTAGGATAGCCCACGAGGTACTCCGAATATCGGCTAGCTGAGATATACGATTTACTGACTCACAACAAACTTAGCAACCATTAAGTAGCTAATATTTTTATTTATCTTTTTACTACACTACACGTAACTAAGAGCTAGGAATTATGCTATACGTGTAGATCCTAAATTATTGCCTGATGATACAGGACTTATAATCTTTTAAGAGAAACTCAAATTTTAATAATCGTGAATACTCGTCTACGTGCACTGATAAAACAACGGAGTACTTGAATGATTTACTACTATATTTAAATACTAGTATTTGTGATAGCATATACCTACAGAAAAGACCTAATATGTCCTCTATGCCTAATTTACATTCTAAATCGTAAAACAATTGCAAAACTTTGGACTAAGGTTATAGTACTAGTCCTCCATTGCTCGTCGCCATTGTGAAGTACTGCAGGAACCGGCTACGTGGGACAGATATTATTTACTATAGATTAATACTATAATGGCGGCTCTAGATCGTTAAATAAAGAATACAGGTGTTCTCTCTAATCCCAACCTCGTTTATTATTATGAAAGAATTGATCTAACTTTATAATTGTTATTGCTACTTAATGCAAAACTTATCGAACAAACGAAACTTGACGTTTATTTGCTGTGATTAGTTTTAAAACCTTCACATTACTAGCTATGAAACTCAATTAACTATAGGGGTTAACAGTATAATGCAATCATTCCTAGGAATCGATCAATGGATGCCGTCTTTTTCCGGGAATTTCTGAATGTCATAATTGGTCGAAACAATTATCTTTGGCTAAAATATCTTTCTAATAGCTGTTTATGCAGGCTTTCATATAAATTTCATTACAAAATGATTATCCAAGATAAAAGGATAAAGACAATTATTGGTCTGTAAATGTTACGGTATTTGTAATAAAATCTTAACGCGTTTTGGCATTGAAACTTTGTATTATTAAAAACTGTTTTGAATTATAGTATCTTGCTTATTTCTTGATACCACCAACAGCTCTGCGAAGCGTATAAAAACAGCATCATGATCTTGAAGCGAGTTTAGAATCCGTAAACTATATAGGAATAAAATAAGAGATTTATCGGCCAGCTTATTCGTAACGTTGATGGTAAGTAAATCTAATAGGTGTCTTAATGGATGGAGTTTGTTTCTAATATTACAAATCGATCTTTAATGTATTCATCTCTAGCGCTATATATAACTTACTTCTATTCTTAGGCTTATTTGATGCATATTTGATAAAGTACTAGCTTTTACTTCGCTTACCTTTTGCTAATACTAGTATATTCTCCAAGTTTTTTTAATTATTTCAAGATTTCGTTTGACATTAAAATCTCTCAAACTATAACTGACCTATATTTAGCATAAATAAGAATCTTTAATAATCGAATACACTTAAATACAAACATTTAAATCAATGCGGCGAAATGCCGTTAAAGTCGTTAATATTCTAGCAAAACACACAAAATTCTGACAAGTAGTATTCTTCGTTTTGATTAAGTCAATACATGGAAGTAATATCGATATATCTTTCTTTCCATTATTTCTTACAGGACAATGATTTTAGGTTTATTTACCAATCGATCTCATTATATGGCATTTATCGTTTGCTTAATCCAAGTAGCGTATACTAATCCATCCGATCAAGTGATACAGCAGCCTTTTGACACCTGTAATTGCTCACTAACTGTGAAGGATAATGTATCTGAATATGCCCGATTTCGAGAACTTACCCGACCAAAAACAATTCGAGTAATCTTTTTTAATTTGACTATAGATAATAAGAATCTGCAGACTGATCATAAAAACCATGACTTTTATGGATGGGTTAGAGAAGATGCTGGTATAGCTATGATTTCTTTATCTACCGATTACATTGCTACAGGCTTAAACCTATATGCAGCTTTCACACACGAACAGAGTTTCAATCTTATTGAATCAAACCAAGGTTGCTACGCTCGACTAACAAATGATTCCCAAAAAATGCATATCGTATTTACAACATTACTACAATTTACAAATTTAAACCAAGGTTGTTATGGTCAAAATTGTTCTACAATATGTTGGCGACGCTTTAATAGAGAAGATATATTCCTTAATCATAACGTATCCTATTCATGCTGTAATAGAGAAACCATTAACCCCAAAATTAACGTTAGCACATGTCTAGTCCCTCCAAAACAACTTTGGTATGGTCCTGCTGTACAAATAATTTCCATTATACTTAGCTTGCTTATGGCTGCTACACTAATAGATAAACTTTTTAACAACTTTTTGCAAGAATTAGGCAGTTATCGGTAAGTCACAAATTTTATAATGCAGAGTATTATTAACCTAAAATTCTATAACAAATTTTATATACTAGTCTACAAACGATGTATCATTTATTGTTTATCTATTATTAAGTAACCCGACTAAATGCTTCAATATTCAGCATCCAGCGCAAGCAAGACTTATTCTTCTCATAGTAGAAAATATTAATCTCTTAACGCTACTGTATATTCCATATAATGGAATACAGCATTGCATTAACATCATTAGTACAGATTCGAAGTATTAATTCAGTATATGTAACATTCAGTCTTAGTAGAATTACTTTTCTTATAGATATTTCCGACAAGAATCTCTCCTTACCTCAGATCAGAGCCAAACTCATCAATTAAACCAACTCCTAACTAATAATTCGCATCAGGAATCAATTCAAAACTCATCTCATCAATCATTGCTTAGATCATCTCATCAAATGAGTGGAGCATACTTAAGATGCAGCATTTGTATATTACCAAATTCGACAAATCTATTGCAGATGGTTAAGGTTCGCATCTTAGATACGTTACACTTTCAAAATGTTAACTATCTCTACTTTTCTGATTATGCTACCAAGTACCATTGGCTAGAAATTAATCATTGTATTAAATTACTATCATTTATTATTTTGTCTGGTGGGTTGGGATTTCTTTCTATTATTGTACAACGAAATTCAACACTTTTTATTGTTATGCCTAGGTTTTATCAATTGGAGAAATTTCACAATATTAAAGAACTAGGTTTAATTATAGCAGTAATTTGTGTACCATACATATTGATCTTAATTGTAGCCTATTTGAAACAAGTATGGTCTAGTGATTCAAAAAAATTGTTTAATCAAAGTCACGCCAACGATCAAGAGCTACTATCTAGACAAACATACTTGACACCAAGTAATGACCGACAGTCCTATCACCAAATTAAGATTATTCTTGTTGATATGAAACGCCACTTACTCTCTCTACAATTATTTCAATTTATCAAAGATCTCTTAACATTTATAATCTGCTTGCCATTTTGTATGTTTGGACTTATTGGACTTTTAAGAGCTTTCTTTTTTATTTCTGAACTATTAACTTTTAAATTGAAAGGAAATTTACTCCCTAAGAGAGCGAATTGGCCTTTAGCATATCGTCTTATGTCAGTTATCATGACGATATACTCTGTTTTTTTCGTCATTTTTACTGCATCACTTTTAATTGGCGGTTTACAACTGATTATTAGAATCTTCATTACTATGACGACATTTATTTTCGCGTTTTCTACCAATTTCAATGTAATTATTGTTATTATGATTCCATACTCGCATCACATTTATTTGTTATTAAGTGCATACTCTAATCGAGGTCCTCTTATATGTCACCGGATTATTGCTGTAAAATCAAGAATTGAAGAAAATATTCAAACAATATTGGAGAGTAAGCAAGGTTATTTGAGAGTTAATTTTATTATCGCTGAAAATAACAGTATTAATAACGTAGAATTTGATATCCCAGAAATGTTAAATGAAGAAATTATCAAAAAAAGTATTGAGGATTGCATCAAGCGAAGTCTTAGAGATGGCTATCATCATGCAATTAATGGAACTTCGAGCATCATTTTTCATTACTCACGTAATGAGTCGGATAATAACAAAGTTACAGTCAAATTATTGCAATGTGGCTTCGGTTGTGTAAAATGTACTTTTGACAACGGATACAGCACACTCACAGGGATAATTGAAGCTCACTTACAAAACAGAGATTCTCATTATTTTCGTACTAAATTAACTCCTACCTACTATGATATATATGAAAATGGAACTCATCAATGCACAGGTATTCCAGCAGAATTATACGATTATCTGAAATATTATACATCTGAGATTTCAATTAGTCCATTACAAGTAGCATTTAACATTTTAATCGTAACAGGTCTATTCTTTTATTATATCATTACATTCTTTCTAGTTTATGAATTTCGTTCAATTTCATCGTTAAATTCGATTATTGCTAATACCTCGATTGCCTATTTAGCTACAACTCTAACTTTAAAGTATTTCAAACTATTCGAGATCAAGAATGAAAGAATCGACAAGATATTAATTCTTAACATTACTCAATATCGACGAGGTTATAAAATATTTTTCAAGCGAGGCGTCGAATTTCAACCTATTTCTCAGATGATAAGCATGGCCGTAAGATAATAATACGCGAATAAATAGACAAAAACTGAGGATACTGTTAACTATTGCTATTAATACGCCTTTTTATGTTGACCTATTTTATCATCTTACTACAAAATTGTATATTTTTAACGATAGTCGAGGGCGAACATTTGTTTATCATTATTATAAGCTGTAAAATAACACTATACCGCAATCTAAATAATTAAATAATTATTTAATTTGTATTATCAGTACATAGTGTACTCATTTTCTTCCTATAATTATTGCTATTACATGTTAAAGAAAATAAAGACATTATTACAAAATTTTAACGGTGTCTAACATTTGTTCTAGAAGAATTGGATATTATAAGTAACTCGTGTACGAAAAATTATAAATACAATCAAATAACCAAGTAGAAGCAAATATTGCTATATTAGGTTCAGCATCAGCGTGAATGATAGCAGGAATTATCGTCATTAATCACCGTAATAACATAGAATAGACAGTATTAACTATTGTCGTAGAAAATTATTATAAAGTAGGACATCCGTTGCTATTAGATGACCAACATTAGCAGTTGCAAGTAAAATCTAAAATGTACTGTGATTGTAGCATTAGTGACTAAATCTTAATAATTAAGGTTCAATTGTTACCTTTTTATAGTAAAATTAGTCAAATCAATGAACTTTTACAATTTTTGTTAGTTTTCTGAGTCTTAATGAACTTTCATTTAGAAAGCATGCTGGTGGAGATGCTTCTGAAACATGATAGATTGATAATAATAAAAATCTTTAGGATCACTAACAGTTGGTAGATCTATGAAGCTTACAAGTGCCGACAGTGACAGTCTTTCCAATAACGTAAAGTTTTTAAATTCATCGACTATTTCTAATAAAGCTATTCCTAGTTGCTATGTTCGACTAACAAGTGATTCCGAAAGAAATTATATTGTATTTGCGCCATTATTACAATTTACAAACTCAAGTGGAGGTTGTTTTGGTAGATATTGTCCCACAATATTTTGGCGACGCTTTAATAGAAAACAGGAACTTTTACATCATCCTATATCTTATTCATGCTGTAGCAGAGAAATACCTGCTCCAAAAATTAACATTAGTACATGCCTAGTTCCAAGGAAACAGAAATGGATAGTTCCTATAGTACAAAAAATTGCGATAATAATCAGTTCCCTTATAGCTGCTACTATGTTAGATAAACTTATTAGCAACTTCTTGAAAGAATTAGATAATTATCGGTAAGTCACAAATTCTACAAAGCGGTAGAAAATTAACCTTAAATTCAGTTTCAAACTTTATGTACTACCGGTCTATATGCAATCTGTTGTTTGCTGTCTATCTATTCAGAAGTACTCCAACTAATTACATCAATGTTCAGTACCCAGCGCAAACAAAGCTTGTTTTCTCACGGTAAAAAATGTTAATTTTTTACAGTTGCAGTCCATACAATACAATACAGTGCTGTATCTATGGCAATGCTAGCTCAGATCCAAAGTGTTATTACAGTATATGTAGCATATAACCCGAATAAAATCTTCCTTCAATAGATATTGCGAACAAAAATCTCACCTTACCTCAGACGAGGGTCAAGATCAAGATCATTGGATCATTGGGTAAGATCATTCGGATAGAGACTGATGATGAGATGATTTAAGTATTACTTGTAATATACCAAATTTCTCCCAAATATTAAGGATATAGAACATGAACCTTAAACCTAGAAACAGGCAAACCGTTATAACTGCATTTAACGATAGTTTGCGTGTTGCTTTTACCCGCTAATATTGCTTGGGTTAAAGTTGATGTTCTATATTCTTTTCAATTGGGAGAAATTTGGTATAGTACATGTAATGCTTAAGTAATCTCATCATCAGTCTCTATCTACTACATATTCAAAATTATTGCCCATAATCTACTACAAAAATCTACTGTATATTATTAGGATATATTTGTATAAATTACTTACCGTACACGAATTAGTTTAATTTGCCTTCAAATTTATCGGACAGCTAAAGCTCCGGGCTTTATTTCAATTAATAACATATCTGATTGTGCGGGTAGGAATAATTAGTATAATAGAGCAACAATGGACGAAAAAAATTATTAGAAACTAAGAGCTTTTGAAGCCCAACACAAAATAAATTTGGTGGAAATACCAGTTTATTATCATTTGTGATAACGAATTTTACAAAATTAGTTAGAAGATTAACAAAAGGCAGAATTACTGCCTTGACTAACCAAATCATCAAATTAAAGAGATATACTTATGATTTAAGGAAAATCCTAATCGTTATCGACTACCACACTATCTTGATCTCACTAAACTACTGAATTATGTCACTTTTTATTTGCTACATAGAGTAGCTGGCGGTACCAAATAATCGAATTATCACTCTAAAGTATTCTAAGTAAAAATAGCAATTAAAATATATGATCAGATAAATTATACTCTAGATTCCAGAATGTTAATAAATTAGTAATGCAATAGTCGAAACTTGACTACAAATTGTATTCATCTACGGATATATAGCATATAGCTATAAAAAATATTAAGACAAGCCAAAAATCTTCAATTAGAACCTAGATCATAATGTTCGGGACTATACTGTATTCTATCACAAAGTAACATAACTTTTACTATATTTTATAACTCAAATTAGCTGCCAGTTTATCAGAATTGCAGCATGAATACTATACTAACTAAATATGTTGCTTAGTTTATAATTGTGATAAAGTGATCTTCAAAACAATAAATCAAGAACTACAGTTTCTTGCAAATTTCACTTTATTACAGAAGTTAGGTTCGTCTAACTACCAAGGACTATCTGACTATCTGACAATCTACTTATTACAGCAAAATTCACGATTTATATACGATTACAATAATCTTACATTGTATAATTCTTAACAAAATTATGTTACTGTATGCTGTTAAATGTTAACCAGAATAAAGTAGTCGAGTTTACAATATACTAGAATACTAAGTAAAATCTTACTATAATTTAAACTAAATTAAGTTACTTTTAAAGCTATAATATTATTAGAAAATGTAAAAGATTAAAAGGGAATTCTAAAAATTAACCTTTATTACTATAATATGTTTTAATTTATTTATAGTTAACTTTACAACACGCGATTCTAATGCTTCAGCTACATCGAAATTGTTACTAGAAGATAGCTTATTAGAATACTCCATCATCGATCGATACCGCAAAGGTAGGGGATCATTTTTATACTATTAATTGTATAAGATCCTTAAATGTGCAGATCCGTTAGTATATAGAAAAGAAATACTAAAATAAAATCCATTTAATATCTTACGCTGGCTGTCTGTAATCGATTTTCAGTTATGAAGGAAAAAGTACAATCCTATCATGTAAATCTGTAAGGTAATGAATAACTGATTATACTAATAAAACCAGTATAAATTCAAGAAATTTCTATCTACAGGAAAAAAGTTCCATCCCAGAAGGGGATTAACAATTGATTACTAACAGAACCTGTATAAATTCGAAAAACAACTGGCGCCACGAAAAAAACACAATCATACGAGTACAAGGGGAATTATTGACTGATTACAAATAAAACTACTATAAATTCTAGAAGTAACAGTCTACAGGATAAAGCTTAATCCTATTACAAAAGCGATTAACGACTAGATACCAATAAAATCAGTATAAATTCAAGAAGTAACAGTTTACAGAATAAAGCTCAATCCAATCACAAAAGCGATTAATGACTAGTCATCAATAAAATCAGCATATACTCAAGAAGTAACATTCTACAGGATAAAGCTCAATCCTATCACAGAGAAGATTAACGACTTCTTACTAATAAAATCGTTATCAATTCAACAAATCATTGCCTAAAAGGATAATGTACAATCCCATCATGCAATCTTAAAGAGCAGTTTGCAAAATGACCGATTTCGCATACGGTCAAGTTCATATATAAAGTGCATCTCGCCATTGTTGGTATATATCTATCGTAGCAATGAACGCAATTCAGTTAGTTATTTTAGTCGCATGAACGCGAATTTAAGAACTGCCTTAGTTACTTTATTGCGCATCTGAGATAAATTTGTAGATAGCATGACACGACCTGAGCCAACTAAACCGGCGGGGTACTGAGAGCACTGCATATTAATCAATTACATGTGAATCATGATTATTAATTTAATAAGACTATTGAAATACGATTTATTATCACGTTTACTAAGTAGCGTGCACCTTGATTACAGCTTAAACCAATAGACGGTAAAATATCTAATAGACTGAAATTTAAATGTTGCCTGAGTTAAGCCTATCTGTAATGTAATTATTGAGGTGACAACCGTAAATCTAAGAAAAGCTCTTCAATTCCTTCAAAGTAGATAATATAAGTATTAGCTCATGCTTTCATCTTGTACAGAAATAAATCAATTTACTTGTAACAACTGCAATAAACTTTTGAAAAGGTTCCAAACTTGAACGTCTATCGCTAATTTCGATCATGATCTGAAAGTATACTTGTGTGAAACAATTTATTATGAGTGTTATTGTCGTCTCTTATACGTATTAGCTAGAATATTGTTTACTGCAACAGGTTTATTGAATTACTATGTAACTAATAACAAACTACTTTCAATGAATTACTATAAAAATTAGAGTATAAGCATAATAGGTGATTTCTATGTCTTACTATTAGATAGTGTAACAAATAGATATTGAAACCAACTATCGAAACGTCTATAGGTAATTTGTGAAAATCTACGTGCCTGAGGTACCGGTATATAAATAAAATATCAATTAGTAAAGTAGAACATAATTGGATCAAAGTCTTAATTAAATAGCAAGGAGAGTTCATTTCCTGAATAAGAATTGTCGATATCTTATAAACAAACTTCGCAAGTCTAGCTGTAGTAAAGAGTAGAAAAACATGCGGACTGTTGTCACACACCACTAGTGACAAAGTAGTCTACACACGCCAATCCTTGCGGAGAACACCACTTACTAACTTAAAGAGGCGAGATTAGCTATA